TTATATAAATTTTGAAATGTTTAACAAATCAGATTCACCAAACATCAAGAGAGAAAAAAATGGAAGAAGAATAAAAAAATTTACATACATACAGGTGGGGCAGATCCGTGAGCACAGAAAGGAAGTAAAATCAGATTTCTATATGAAAATCTAAAGCCTGAGCATTGTCAAACATTGTTCTACAGAACAAGAAAGTAATGCAGAAATTGAGTTATTCCCAAATACAATTTGAAGCATGACAATACTGAACCTGAAAAGCATGAATTTCCAAAGGTAATACTGAAATTGAACTATTACCTAAGACAACTTTACGGTAATGTAGAAATTGAGTTATTCCCAAAGGCAACTTTACGGTTAAATTGAAGTTTATAGTTGCTATCATTGTCTACATTCTAGCACAAAATAGCACATGTAATTGAACTATTCCCAAAGGCTTTAGACTTGAAAATGGAAAATAAAGCTACAGTTTACTGAAATGAGAATAATAAATCTACGTGTCTGGAAGAGTTTAGGAAGACGGGATTTCAATATTTATTTACAGGTAAGCAAAACACAAATTGACAAGGTATGTATAAATATTTAAAGAAACAACCTTTCTCTAAAAAAATACTGCAAGCTTAGGCAGTATAAAAAAAGTAGCTCAATGGTTTTCATATAGTTCACAGGTCTAAAACTAAAAAAAAAAGCAACGGAATAAATAAATATGAATTTGAATAAAAATAAGTGTAGTAATATTTTTAATAATATTCAACTAATAAATTCTCAAATTCTTCATTCATAGGCATATTATCTCATCAGTAATTCGTTCTCTCAACTCTGCCATCTCGCTTGCACTTTCCCCATCTACAGTGAAGGCAATGGAAGCCTCGGTCTCTTCTTCTGTGAAATATTGACCTAGCTGATATTCAAATGCTTCCGAAGGCACATTTTCTTCATCCTCTTCCGTCAAATGGAAGTCGATATTGCTACGAGAATGATGACTTCTTATGTAATTATGAAGAGTCATTGTAGTAAAGACAATCTGTACCTGCTTCGAAAAATTGTAGGGAGGCATATCACAGAGTATCACCCATTTCTTTTTCCAGACACCAAAAGTCCTCTCAATTACACCACATAGCGATGAATGTCGTTTATTAAACATTTCCTTTTTTCTTCGTATGACGTTACTTGCACGTGCGAAGTCTGGTATGTGATATCTCGTATCAGGAAATGACTTTAAATACCCTCGTTGCAATGAGTAACCAGTATCAACAAAGTAATACTTGTCTAATAAATATAACAATTAGTATGAAAATTCAAGTTGTTATTGGGATCCCAAGTAATATTTGCCTAATAAACTGAACAATTCGTATGAGTTCGATCCCGAGTGTACCTGCAGGTGGATGTGGAAAATTGCTATTGGGATTCCGTGTCGCAGATTTAAAAACTCGACTGTCATGTACGCTGCTCTCTCAGCCAGCCATAACAAAAGTGAAACACATGTTAAAGTCATAGACTGTCATGACATTTTGGATAGGGCTACCTCAACGGCTAATAAATGCCACTTTATCACTATTTGGGATACGTGCGTCAACATGTGTTCCATCAATCGCGCCAATGCAGTCTTGATGAGTAAATGTTAGGTTTGACATATCATTGTTTACCCTTACAAAGTTAACTATAATACATCCGAGAGAATACCTTGAAAAAGGACATATATCGTGCTTCACGTGCTATCTCAGCGAGTATCTGCTCAAACTTATAATCCGAGGGTCCGATGACATGAGAGAACAAGCTAACAAGTGCGCTCAATCTGATTGAGAAATACTTGCTAATTGTTTCTGATGAGTGTTGAAATCGCTCCATTGCTCCTCGCATATACTCATTTTGGGACAATATGAACAGTGTTATTGCGAGCACCTCACGTGGATTGATCCTCGAAGATCCATGAAGACCGTGAGATCCTACGAGTAAGTCCAGAAAATCGATTAATATTGTTTGACTCATTCAAAATATATTAAAAAATCGTATTGGATGTCTCACAAGTAACTCTCCAACCCATTTGTCGCTAACATAAGAAGATGTCATGCATGACGACCGATCAATGTACGCGTCATAGTACTCGTACATCAAACATATTGCCGTCAGAAACATCCCTCTTCGCTTTCTTCTGCGTGTATCCATGTGGGCCTCCATTCTTCTTCTTCTATTTGCATCCATAGTGATGAGTATCCCTAAATGTTTCTTCAAAACAATCATCATTTATATGAGAGTTGGTGACAATAGAAAAAAAAAATGTTTGCAAATAATTATGAAGGTACAAGAGAGTTCACAAGCACAACTCTAGAAAGAAAAAAATAGATAATGCAGTGTAAATATTCTAGTGATGAAAAATATAAAAAATATCAATTGTTCAAATGATTATAAAAATGCCGAATATATGTCACTCTGCGGGTGATAGACATCTGCACAAAGAAATCCCTACGGACCGGGTTCTTTAGCAATTCTGCTGCGAACAGATACAACTCTTCATCTGCATAAATTTCGGTAATAGCACTTATGATTTCAAGTGCCTCCGCGATTGTGCTTGAATGAAAAGCCTGACATTCTGCTTTAAAACAAGAAACCGCATCAGATAGCTCGTTTCTGAGGGAAGAAGCACCAAATTTTATTTTATTAACAACCCTCGGACGTTTGAAATGGGAAATAGTTTCATATTCGTTCTGATTTGGGCTGGGGATGTCAATGAAATCAACTGAACCTCCAGGGGTTCCCAAATTCACGGCATTGTGAGCGAACCCTGTCTCACTTGGGCTACATGCATAGTTCCCCGTTGCAACCACTCCCCCAAACATGCGGTCTAGTTTCTCCTCCAATTCAGGCTCAATTCCAGAAAGCTTAAACTTTTTTGCAGCAGACACCACCTACACAGAAATTGATAGACACCCAATTAGAATAAAATAGAAAGTTACAAAATACAGAAGTTTACAAACAAAGCTAACCGCAAATCTTTCAGCCCACCATTCCTCAGGTGCATCAACTGTTCACTTCATTGGATCCCAACTAAGCTTGGTAGAACCCTTTTCAATTCCTTCCAAATTTTCCATTCCTTCTTCATTTGGTCCCACTTGCTCTTCATTTGCAACATGTTGTATTCCCTGCATGTATATTCCTTGAAATTTTTGATAATATTTTGCCACCATTCTTTATTGAAATGGATCGTAGGCCTATTTCCCCGTTCAATCTCTTTGATACAAAGATCGCAAAATATTATTTTTGTGTCTTTTTCCCACAATGCGGGGGTAGCAACCTCATTAGGCTTATTATCCATGTTATTACTATAACAAAATAAAGTCATGGAACAGAAGAGTAAAATCAATTATAAAGTTTAAAAAGTGAAGTTCAGGTGTTAGATATGTAAATACATATGAATTGGGAGGCAACAAACATTTGTTTTACAGTAAAAATGAGAAATTTCTGCAAGCCAACCTCCCCCATGATAAAACAACAGGAAACACTTGGTATAAAGAGCCGAAGAAGCTAGAGCACATCTCCAGGATAGATGAGCACATCCACATTCTCATAAAAATCCTTCAAATGAAAGATCTAGTTTCGTGCAACAAAAAATGCCACTTTGAGTAATAATTCGATGCATAATCTACAAAGAGTATTCCTCCAAGTGCAATAAAATAATTCTTCAATGCATTGAATTTTTATAACAAATTGATGTCAATTCTTTGATGCATTGAATTTTTACTGAAACAAGCCTTAAGAAATTAAAAAAAATTTTACTGAAACAAGCCTCATGAATTTTTACTGAAACAAGCCTTAAAAAATTGATGTCAATTCTTTGAAAACATGAGTAATAGCAGCAATGGAAGACAGAACAACATGGAAAATCAATATTATAATGAGCAAAATAAAAAATTGTCCAACTTGAAACAGCATTTCGCTTCCAACTCCCTTGTCTGATTTCCATTCATTAATAGTTTTGCCTTCTCAAATAATTTTGCAGTGCAAGACTCTCTAGCATCCTTCACATTTTTTGAGAAAAAGTTCTTTTAATTTGTGCAACTCGCTCATATGTTCCAACTCCCCAATTCTAAAACCATTCTCAAATAATTTTGAAGAAGATCGGATTACCTGCTCGTGCTCTCTGGATTCGGTACTGTTCGAGGAAGGACCTGCGCGGCAAGAACTCGCCGAGGGTTCGGTTCTGGTGGAGGAAGAAGAACGCGCGCGGAAGGGTTCGATCCTGGTGTCGAGGAAGAAGAACACGCGCGGATGGTTCGGTCCTGGCGTCTAGGAAGAAGAACGCTCGCACTCGAGGAAGAAGAACGTGCGCGATCGGTTCTGGTGTCAAGGAAGAAGAACGCTTGCGGAGGCTTCGGGTGTCGAGGAGGAAGAAGAATGCTCGCGCGCGGGAGGGTTTGGTCTGCGTGAGGGAAGAACAACGCGCGTGGGAATAGGCGGGAGGAGGATTGCGCCGAGGGTAAAAAAAACTTTTGACGAGCCGAAAGTCGGGGCCGCGGGGTGCAGGATGGATATCTCGGCCCGCTTTTCTTCCGCTTCAGCTTCATTCTGCCGCGACGCTGGGAGCCAAACGATCGATTTTCGCGATTCCTTGCCGCGAAGTCGTAAAAAAGCGGGCCCAAACGGAGCCTTGATCATTTTACCATTGGATGGGTATGTTGTTACATTAAATGAGTTTGCAAATGTAAGAATCTTTTAATGTTTTTACAAAATACCCGAGTATCTCTCACATCTCATGGAGACAATTTATAGAATACCCTCGTATCACCATTCGTTTCATCTACATTCATCATATATTGATTAATATGTTCTCTTTTATCTCTGCTTGACATTTATGGCAAAAAATAAAACATCTGCTACTACGCCTACTATCATAATAAAATCTGCCGTCAAGTTTGTCTTTTGACGGCAGATTTTATTGAGATTTTTTTAGAACGTTTTAACTACAACTATGGCTTTTTATTTATATATATATTCTTTTCCTGCAGTTTCTACAGGTTGAGTTTCGATCCAGTGCTCGGAGGGCAAATGACGCAGCAGGAGTATGTTCTATTCCTCAGGTCCGAAACCCACCAGGCAGGACCTGCCAACCATCCTTGAGCTGATGCGCTGCTCCAGCAGCATATTTCATCGCAAATATTGTGAGTCCGGAGCAATTTTTCTATAACCTGCATATATTTTATACTGAAAGATTGCCTCCGTTTTATGTACAAATTTGTGGGACTGATATTGTGATTCCCTTGTAAACTCGGTGCTAATGCTCTCAAGTTCTTACATAGTATTGTTTTGGCTAACACGACCATTCAGGATTCTGATCATATTGCCGTTTACTTTTGTTTGTTTGTTTGTTTTGGTGGGATCGTGAACTAATCCTTTCATGAAGAAATAAAATTTATATTAAGTGTAGTGGGGAAGATTGGAGATTGGTTTGATGTGGAAGTGATAATCTTAATGATGAGATTATAGGGGCTGATTCGTTGGGAGCGTTTTTGATCTTTGGTTTGAATTTGAGCGTATTAAATGACGTCGGCAATTTGATGTTCACGTTGAGGAAGAAAATCTCAGATGGTTTTATTTGTGAGAATTATATGGTTAAAAGCAATTTAATGTAAAATTAAGGATATTATTTAAGAAAACCTTTAGGAATGTTTGAATGAGATTGATAATATTATAATTTTAATAAATTTTCTTTAATTTCGGATTTTTTGCTTGGAGTAGATGATGTTTCAAGGATTCGTAGACATTCTTTTTGTTGAGAAAGGATAATGATTTTAAAAATTCCTAAATAAGAAAGTGCTGTAATTTTTTAGTTTTTAGTAGTATTCATATGATAGATTTTAATGGTTTTGTTTTGGTAATATTAAAGGTATATTAATAATCATACTTGTAATACCACATTTTAAAGTTTCTAGTTATACCTGTTGGAATTCAAAAGAATTTTTGCATGAAGACCAGTTCTTATTCATATGATGAAGGCAAAGGATGGTTTTATACAAATTTTATCTTCATAACATTCATTATGGGTGCGTTTTGGAGAGCTTATTTGCAGTGGTGGCGTTTTCAAAACGCTATCACCTGTTTGAAAATCACATTTCTACTGCTTTTCATAAAACTTTGTTATAATTTTTGTATTAGACGCGGATCGCGGGTAGGACCCTGCAATCCGCTTTTAATACTGTTGAAAGAAGAGTATTGCCCTCCGTCCCTAATTTCGCAACGACCGGCTCCTCTGCCCTAATTTCGCAACCAGTGGCTCCTCGATCCAGCACGACGTCACAACAGTCCGTCTCTTCGCTTGATCCGCGTCTCCCTCCATCTTCGCCAATCGTTCTCACCGGTAACCCTTATTATTATTACTCCTCGCTCCTCTGCCCCCCTCCTCGGTTTGTAGTTTCCCGTGAAAATGCCACTCCAAAGGCTCCAATCTTTTGCGTTTTTTTTTTCGTCCTTTGCTGTGGAAGGATTTGGGGGAATCTTATTTGGTTGAATCTGTTAGTTCTTATTTCAACATAATCTCAAGAATCTCCTTAAGAAGGCCTTGCAGAGAGTACACGAGGAATTCTCATAAAAGAGCATAAGGAATATAGATCATATAAAAGAGGCCTTAAAAGATTATTCTTATCAGGCCCTAAGACCTCTTATTCGTAAGGATGGATCTAAGCTATCAGAGAAAGTAATATTGATTTATAATGTGAATCATTGATTATAGTATCGTATATATATTTTGAATTCTTACGCAAGAATTGCTGTACTATTTTATATTACAACACTACTTCCTACTCAGACGATGACTTGAGACGGATTCCGGCGCTGCAAGGCCTTGAATACCCAACAAAACCAGAGCTAGATAAATTTTATGAATACTTTGTATTTTTATGTTCTATAATTTTCATATTTATATCAACTTTCTGATTGGATTAAGAAGTTTGGTAAATTTATAAAAAAAATATACAAATAAGTTGTTTTCAAAACGCACAAACCAAACAGCTACAGCTCATCCAAAATAGGGGCAGATTGGTCATATTTCCAGAATCAGCTATTCTCTAAATGCACAAACCAGACAGATAGACAGCTTATTCGGATCAACTGCTTATCAGGATTAGCAGCTTATCAGGATAAGCTGGATAAGCTGCAATTGCCCCAAACAAACCCTATATCTGTTGGATTCAAATAGTTTATGTGATAGCCGTCATCGTAGTGATCGAATCAGGGGCTTACGACTGACGACGTAATTGCTTAGTAACTTATCTTGAGTAGATTGTAGGTGGGGCTTTAGCTGTAGATTGGGTTCTAAGTTGTTCAAAGGTCAACTCTTGATATAGTTACTAAATCCTAGCGTTGCGAACAATAGTAGGTCCCGGTTGAAATGATGAAATGCTAAATTCACCTTCCAGCGGCATGTGATCGCTAGGGTTGCCAAAACGACACGTTGTTCGCAAGCAATATGTGTTCAGCTCGTTAAGCTCTTGCTGGACTTGTTCTAAGTTAACGAGCTGAACACGAACACCTTTTTTTGTGCTTGATATATAAATGAGCGGAACACGAACAAAGATTTTTTTGTCCGTGTTTGACTCATTTTGGCTTGAAATCAATTATATATATATAGTTTTTTTTTTTATATATTTAATTGACTACAAGACTGCAAATATTTATAATCAATTAAAAATAATAATTTTAAAAATAAATAAAAATTAATTAAAATATATTTAATGATGTTTTAATATAACAATAGAATTTAAATCATGCCGCAACCTCTTATGGCAGTGTTGTTAGGGTCGTCAAAATGACTATTTATTCGCGAACATGTGTATTTGGCTTGCCAAGCAAACGAGTTGAACACAAACATACTTTTTATGTTCAAAATATAAACGAGTTGAACACGAACAACAATATTTTTTAACGAGCCGAACACGAGTTGAGCTTGGGCCTATTCATGGCCCTTTAATTTTTTGTTTTGCGAGTGGGCTTTATCTAGAATGACCTATGGGGCTCTCTTTGTAGCCTCGTAGGTCTGGATTGGCTAGACGGTAGCAAGAAATAAGGAGAAAGGGAAAATTAGACATCCAAATTGACAATGCTACAGGCAATAATCACACGTAAGTGAAACCAATGAAGAATAATTTTCTTAAATGGTTCTCATACTTAAAATGTAACTATAATTTGATTATTAGTATAAAATTATGCGTGGTGGGGTAGTAAATGAACCATTGCGCTCGATGAATAACCCTCGATTCGATAGTATTCAATCAAGTTTGATAAGAATAATACAAAAAAACAAAAATATTTTTATAAGAACTTGGCGTTTAAATGCGCCGCCTAACTCGTTTATTCATGTTCATGAACATTGGTCTGTTGATTAGTAATTTATGAAATGTAAGATTTTAAGTGTATGATTATTTAAATAAAATGTAATTAGCTAATAATTATTTAATAATATAATTTAATATAAATAATACATTGAAATAAAATATTGATCACATAAATATTTTACTAATATTTATTTATTAATTAGCCCAATTTATTAAATAATCTATCATTTTTGCCGTATTCAGTTCATTGCACCATCCAACTCATAAAAGTATTATATTTTTATCAATTATATCATATAACTTTAATCTTATTCCCTTCAACCAACCACACTTTCCTCAACACTCGGCAAATTTAACCCATCTTCCCCTTTTGCGATTGTAACTGCTTTTTTCACACAAAATACTTTCTTTTCTAGACACTTATTCATTTTTTTTCTAATTTTTTTCTTAAATAATTTAATTGTCATTAGTGAATATCCATATTAGTTTAATATAAATCCTCCTTTTTTTTTCATTAAATTATTTTCTTAATACTAATTTAAAGTTTTTGTTAGTAAGAAAACTTACAATTATAATACTTTGATGCATAAAACTTAGATTCTAACTTGTAAACATATAATATGAAAGTTCAAGTTAAACATGCATAACTTATAATATCACAAAGTCATGACATATTAGACTTAACTCAGCTCAATTAAATAAATAACCAGACCTTGTCTTTTGCTTAAAAAAAAAAATTTATATATCAATCACTCAAAATATTAAATATAATATTTTAATCATCTAAATTTATTATTTTTTCATTATAATCACCCTCATAAAATCATTGATAAAGTTTTGATTGGAAGTTTCAAATGATTAAAATATTATATTTATTGTTTTGAATGAATATCAAATGTAGAGCAAACTCTGATAACCATCAAATTCTCTTCCACCAACCCAAATGAACATAAAACCACATTCCCTCGTCTCCATAACAGCTAGGGCTAGAAGACGCACAACCTCTTTCTCTCCCCTCTCCTCCCATCTTCTTCCTCGCAATCTCTCCTCTCTCTCCTCTCTCTCCTCTCTCTCCTCTCTCTCCTCTCTCTCCTCTCATCTCTCCCTCCTCCACCAGCGCGCCACCTCCCGCCACCTTCCCAAAGCCCGTGAAATCCATGCTCTGCTCCTCACATCCAGCCTCCTCTCCTCCTCACCCCCCGCCCTCACCTCCCTCATCTCCCTCTACTCTAAATGCTCCTCCCCTGCCGCCGCACTTGCCGCATTCCGATTTTCACCTTCCCCTCCCAACCTCTTCGCATGGAACGCCGCCATCTCCGCCCTCTCTTCCAACTTCCTCCCCGTCGACGCCTTCCTCCTCTTCCGCTTCCTTCGCTCCCATCCCTCCCTCCTTCCCGACCGCTTCACCTTCCCCTGCGTCATCAAATCCCTCTCCGACCTTGGTGACGCCGGCGATCTCAAGATCACCCACGCCTTGCTCTTCAAGTTCGGCTTAGATTCAGACGTCTTTGTCTCCAGTGCAATGGTGAACGCTTACTTGAAAGTAGGGTTTGTAGAGGACGCAGAGAAAGTGTTTGATGATTTGCCTGACCGAGATGTTGTGCTCTGGAATTCCATGGTTAATGGATTTGCGCAAATGGGGCGATTCTGGATTGCAAGGCAGTATTTCGACAGAATGGTGGAGGAAGGTATGGTGCCGAGCAGATTCACTACGACGGGAATCCTCTCGGTGTTCACTTCAACGGCTGATTTTAACAGTGGGAGAAAGATCCATGCTTTTGTTTTGAAAATTGGATACGGTTTTGATGTTGCCATCTCCAATTCTCTTATTGACCTCTACGGAAAATGCCATGCCGTGGAGGACGCGGAGGAGGTCTTCGAGTCCATGTTGGACAGAGACATCTTCTCATGGAACTCTATCATCTCCGCTTTCATCTACTCCGCCGACCACCAGAAGACTTTGCAGCTTTTCGGCCAAATGCTGCCCGTTGGAGTGCAGCCGGATTCCATCACAATGGCTGCCATCTTCTCCGCTTGCTCTCAACTGGCAGCTCTGTCACATGGGCGGGAGACCCACGCCTATCTTCTTCGCCATGGGATCACAGGCGATGTCCTCCTGTATAATTCTCTAATGGACATGTACGCCAAATGCGGGGCGCTTGAAGACGCACGGAAGGTGTTCGATGAAATGCCTGACAATGATGTTGCGTCATGGAACATCATGATCGATGCATGTGCCTCCCATGGGCTGGGAGAGGATGCTCTGAAGCTCTTCACAGCCATGACTGCTGTACCTGATGAGGTCACTCTCGTTGCAGTTTTGTCAGCGTGCAGCCATTCTGGACTGGTGCAAGCGGGGATGAAAATTTTTGAAGAAATGAAGGTGATGCCGGCAGCTGAGCATTACTTGTGTATGGTGGACATGTTTGGCCGAGCGGGAATGCTTGAGAAGGCGAAGGAGATGGCTTTGGCTGCAGAGAAGGCCTGCGGAGCGAAGGGGTGGAGGGCATATATTGCGGCTTGCAGGGAGAGCGGGGAAATGGAGAGAGTGGTGGAGGCCGTGGAGAGGGTGGTGGGGATGGAGCCGGAGGGGAGCGGTGCTTGGGTGATGGCGGCAAATGCATATGGGTGGGCAGGAAAGTATAACGAGGTGGAGGATTTGAGGGGGGAGATGTGGCGGAGGGGGGTGAAAAAGGTGCCTGGGTGCAGCTGGGTTGAGGTAGCTGGCCATGGCGTGCATACTTTTGTAACAGGGGAAAGGTGTCATCCAAGGGCGCAGGCCATTTATGCTGTAATTCATGAGCTAGCTGGATGGATTAGGGATGGTGGAAGCTTGGCCCTTGTAGTGTTGGATGGATCTTGGGAGATGTTATAAGCAAGCTTAATGCTAGCCTAGCTCAATACCAGTCAATTAATGTTAATTTTGTCCTACGGGCCACCTGGGAGGGCACTCACCTAACAAGAAGATTCGCAAATTTGCATTCGGAGTCCAGTAGGCACTTGCCGCGTAGCAAGTGGGCCTCACTGTAATACACTAGTTGGGTAAGTTTTTTAGCCGTGTGGCACATGACTAGTGTCCTGATGGAATAATTTTTTCACATTTAGGGATTGTGTTGAACATATTAAAATTTATCTTCAGTGTAATGATAGAGAAAACATCTGTTAAATATGAAAAACTGATTTACAGTGGACTGTAAAACACTGTCGGGCTTAATATCCTTTATAAAATATAAGCTCTGCAGGAATATGTATGGCAAAATGAGCGAATTTAGTATTCCAAAGGAAGTAATCTGCATTGGATACATATATAGCCATGAAACCAATTATATATAATTGATTTTCGCATCAAAACTTTCCTTGCTTTCAAATTTAAGCCCAGCTACTGCCTCTAGAAAAAAGAAGAAATGCAGCTGATTTTAATGAGAAACAAAAAGGCTCAAATCATACAATCTGCCACATAGGCTTAAAAGCAATAATAATGATGATGATGATGATTACACACCCAAAAATATTCTGCATGAATCTCGAGATAATCTGACGGTCTAGATCGAAGGCAAGTATTTATAAGGTAGATTGATTGAAGAACTATAATTGACTGGAAACTAGGCGTTCAGATGCAAGCTCACATAGGCCGATCGAGAGCAGATACTCTCTAACGTTCGAACAAAGGTCATGTAGCCCTAATAATCTCACGAGTATCAACATAAGGCTCTCTTCAACTCTCCCAAAAGTTTATCCAAAGATCACTAGTAAATATTTAGTCAAACAAGTTGACCACCATCCTATGGTCAGCTAGCTACCACTCTAATTAATAGTTGACTGACTTCGTAGAGCAAAGGCCACTTTATATACAGATAAAGTAGCCGTCCGACACTAACTTGATCAACCGACCCGAGGACCTACAGATCGGAAGGTCCAGTTTATATGAAAAGATATCAGAATCAGTTATAAATATGAAAAAACAAGAAAAAAGACAATAATATTATGTAACTTCCTTTTAAAACAGTCATATATGTAATTTTTCAGCTTATGACATCTATCTTCTATAAAAAGAGGTCTGTTACATATAAACGGGGGGCTTTTTGGCTCTTCTATCTAGACCAATACTTTGTAAAGAGATCTCTTTCATCTTCTCTTTTGTAACACTTCAGTTACACGATATAAAATGGGTCGCAGAGCCCAGAAATACCTCAGTTCCCTTCTACGAGGCAAGTCTATGTGAGTTATTTTATTTCATTTTTCCTCTCTACTTTTTTTTTATTTAGGTTATCGCTCTGATTCTTGGGAATGTCTCACATGACAAATTAGGAATCAACAACCTAAAATATACGGTGAGCGTGGAGCATGCTATTAATAAAAAGAGAACCGACACACCAACAAGGAGAAATGGATCTCAAATATCTTAAACCGAGAGCATGGTAGGGAGTTCATACACAGATATGGGGCCTGAAAAGTCGTTTCCATCGTCTTTCTAGAGGCTTTGGCTAGGAGGCGAATACAAACAGATGTCTGGCTCCCAATGGTTGAAACAAGATGCCTGACCCTACTACCGTATTACTCAACCTATCGCGGGTGGTCAACACGAAGTAACCAATCAAATAAGGAACATTGGTCTGATAAAAATTGATTGGTTACTTTGGTCGAGCGATGGTAGACAGTTTATTATAGTAGAACGATTTTGGTCGAGCAGCATTAACTGTTTGCAAAGGTAAACTATTCGTAGTCAAGCCTTAATACTCAAGACAAGTATCATCAAGTGTTGCTGGTCATATGAAAATAGTCAAGCGGTAGGAATCTAATGATTATCGTTGGGTGATAGTGGTCAAATAATTATAGATAAGCAGTAGAGCTAGGGTGATCGTGGTCAGATGTTAGTGATTGAGCGGGTTAAATAATTAGAATTGAGTGATGATAGTTGAATGATATCAATCAAGGGCAGAGCTAAGATAACTATTGATGAGCATCTGTGGTTGGGTTATCATAATCATCTGTCAAATGTTAAGTGAGCATATTCCAGAATTATTGGTTATTCAACATTGGTGGTCGATAGGCCATGATAAAAAAAAAAAAGAAGATGAGAAGCATTGGCCTGATGATGATGGAAAGTTGGGGTCTATTTATAAATTTTTGATGTGGCATTCCATATAAATTTTCTAAAAATAACGAACACGTCCTCAAACCATTAGGAATGATTCTCTTAATTATAAGATATTTTTTGAATTTTTGATGTCCAAAGTCTGTTGACTTTGTCTTATAAAGAAGCCAAATTTGACAATAATCAAATAAGGTTTAGAAGTTATTTGGCCCCCATATTAACATTCAAAAAGTTTTAATTATGTTTTAAGTGTTTAATTTGTGCTTAGTTGGAAATGGATGGCAATCCCAATATCTTTGATTCTTTTATGGCACATGCATTTATAATTTATCATTATTGATTAGTAAGAAAATTGATTTAATGAAGTACTAATCTTAAGTATTTAAAATTGGATAGTTTTTTGGAATTAAATATAGAATATATAAATTCTAATTCTGATAGGACTAACCAAATGATATTAAGATGAGGCGTTGTCATTCAAAAACTTTGGTTTAGAAACTACACCTCGGAAAACTCCATTAAAAAAAACTACAGTCGCTAACGTGATGTTAGCGGAACGGATGAAAATATTACGTCAGGACTTTTAATGTAGACACGTGATTTTAAGGAAATGCATACGTTTTTCTGTGATTCGGCCAGGTATTTCTCATGTGTTATTCTGTATTATTCATGTGTTATTGTGGTGGTATTGATGTGTTATTGTGTTATTATAATACCGGAAATATTGTCAGAATACAATAACACATGAATACCATCACAATAACACCTGAATAATGAAGAATAACATGGAGGGAATATTCCCCTGCGCTAAAATGATTTTTTTTTAAATTTTTCTGTCACCTCCACGTGACGTCATTTCATTGGACTCCGAAAATAGCTCTACGTTAAGAGTCCTGATGTAATATTTTATATTCCGGAACGGAGGGATCTCCTCGCAATCTGAAAACAGGGATAATAAAATTAATATCTATATGATTCTAAATTTAATTCTAAAAATTATTCAATTTAAATGCAAAAATACACATAATTCATTAAATCAATTTTTTTATCCAAAAATACTGACAAATTATAAATGCAAAATATATTGGGATTGGATCTCTGGATATGACCTTCAGCATTCCCAAACATAAATCTCTCGGCAAGTCGTAATAAACGCAACACTGTCGTTGCTTAAGTTTTAACTGGCGATTTATATTAACATGTGAACTTCACTAATAACAAAAATTATTCCATCCATTATATATATATATATATATATGGATAGTTCAATATATATATATATATATAAGAGAGAGAGAGAGAGAGAGAGAGAGAATTGGGTGTAGTGAACTGATCACAACCAACGACTCGTGAAGTCATGGATTTAAGTCATGCATGATGCCCATTGGGCTCATCTTTCTAGAAAAAAAAAATGGTTGCATCAACTGTTGGAACCAATACTATTTTACAGGTGAAATCTTAAACCAACTCTCCTTAGTCCTTAGTCAAATACATCTAGGGGTGTAAACGAGCCGAACTCGAGCGAGCCCAGCCTCAGCTCCTCAGCTCGTATTCGGCTCGTGTTCAACTCGTTTATGTTTCAAGCTCAAAAAGTGTGTTCGTGTTCGGCTCGTTTGCTTGGCGAGCCGAAAATGAGCTGTTCAAGAACAAAAGCCGTTCACGAGCAAAAAGTCGTTTTGACAATCCTAATCAGGTAGCTGTAAGATGTTCAAAATTGAGACAAGATTTAAAAATTATTGTTTGTATTAAAACATCATTTGAAACTATTTAATAATTTTTATTCTTTTTTCTTAATTAATACTTATAATTGATAATAAGTCTTTATGGCCTTGTAGCCAATTAAGTTTTTTAAAAATACTAAAGCCGAACAAGAACGAATAAATCTTTATTAGTGTTCGGCTCGTTAACTTAGCGAACGAGCCGAACACAAGCTTCTTAGCGAGTCGAACACGAGCTGCTCGCGAAACAACGGGCCTTTTTAACAGCCCTAGTTATATAACACAAGGGAGTTAACGGTTTGCCGCTCAACTAATTATAATAAATTTTTGTCAGACAATTCCTTGAAAACAACTAACAAAAATAGAATTAAAATAACTAAAAAACTCAAAGATTTAAGATATTTAAAAATTTTGTACTTTTATTTTTACCATGTACTATAATAACTCCCTAAATCAAAATATTTTATCTATTTTATGAATAGGGCTCACAAAAAAGCTCGTTGTTCGCGAACAACTCGTGTTTAGCTCGTTAAGTAGCTCGTGCTCAGCTCGTTTGTAAAGTAAATGAGCCGAACACTAACAAGTTCTTAAAACTCGAATTATAAAAGAGCCGAACAAAACAACTTTTTGTTCGCTCGTGTTCGGCTCGTTTTACATTGAAATAAAAAAATATATATATAATTATTTATATAATAATATATTATATATATTTATATCTAACTTTAAAACCTAATTGCTCGTTTGGTAATGTGGTTATGCGTCTTCTTTTGTATTTATTTGGTCCAGGTTCAAATCCAGCACTTTACATTAATTTTTTCAGTTTAATTTTAATGAGCAAATTTCGAGCCGAACATGAACATGAATATTTAAATCAAGCCAAACACGAACACACTGTTCACAAGCCGATTTCAAACACAAATAATTTCGAACGAGCCGAGCACGAGCCATGCCTGAGCTCGCTTGTTTACAGCCATATTTATGACAAATAAGCTGGCTGGTGAGTCATTTTGTACCGGTAGAATTAAAAACTCACGTTTAAAGTCCATTAATTCGCCAATCTCCAGCTTAAATCAAGGACACGACACAATCTACTCATTCAAAACTTCTACATTCCGAAACGAATAACGAATCGCAATTCTTCAAATTTAAGATTTTGGAAAAGTTTTCATGACAAATTGGATTCCACATGTTTCATGCGAAATTAGACTTTGAAAATATGACCCAAACACTACCATATTGCACCATGGGAAATTTAAATGTAAGGACATATTTAGTTTTTAGATATCAAGATAGGTATATATATATATAGAAAACTCCA